TTGAGATAGCGACCTTCAGTCTGGCGAACTTACAACAATCACACGGTCAGAAAAATGGGTTGGGTGAACACCCGAGTTATCCCCTCCGAAGCTTAAGTCAGTATAAGGTTGGAGGCTTAAGCATAATGTATCATGTATCGTGGTTCAATGTTACGTACCTTTGTTCATTTTTCTGGAGAGTATTTATACCTAAAATAGCAATGAGTGGATAGACTTCAAGTCTCATCTGAACATTCAATGCCTGACACCTTTACCCACGAAGATCTTAATGTTTTCCACCCAGATCTTCACATATTTAATGTTAGGATTATAGGACAAGTACTCGGGAACACATTGAACAATTATGGCTATTCCTGAGCACTTAAGTGTCTATGATCGGCGCCAGACACCTACTACTGAGTGTTCAATGCTCAGGGGAACAGTACCCCGGTACACCGAGGAGATATGCTCAGCGTAGTAGCCATTATGATCGCGGGCCTAGGCTCTGAGGATGCAGGGGCTCATTAATGGCACTGTCTCCATCACTCGCATCACCATAAATGAGTGGTCAAGTCACATTAAGTGGGGGTGTCAGCTAGTATACTCGGCTCCTCCAAGTCGTCATCTCTCGACTCCATTCTCTGGTGTCCTCTGGACTCCATAACGGCTACAATTTTACACATGTCGATCTGGGGGTTGCTAAGCCTCCTAGAGTCCCGCCAGGATATATAATTGAGAGAGTCAAAGTATAATTTGCACATTAGATCGATAGTTTTTCATTTTCGACCTAGCAAACAAATTTGATATCTTGGTTCAAAAAGCAATACTACTTGGATCTTATTTGCGCATTTTATTTAGGAGTTCATATATTGTTATCATTGGATTAGCAGTGAGTTTAATATTAAATGAGGTATATTGTCAATCCAATGAGAATAGTGCGTTGATTATCAAAACTAAATCCTCAAATTATACCAAAATATAATTATTGAAGTTCAAAAAAAGAGAAAAAATAATTATGATACCCGACTAAAAAGACTTGTATGTTAACATTTTACTCCTGCAAATAGTCTATTTTCATGTGAAGCTAAAGTTGTATCTATTAACCCCTCTACTAAACCATAATAATAATAATCTCGTACACTTAATTGTTCCTTTGTATTGCCATTTTCCTATTTTGACATATAGTGATGGAATTGGCAAGCACCCAACAATTCCTTGATGAAGAATGCATAAACCATAACCCTCTCTCTTTCTTTCTCTCTCTCTCTCTGTGTTTGAGGAGAAGATACCAATTGTTTGGTTCATGGGTTTAAGGTGGATTAGTGGGTGAGAATGAAAAAAATTAGTCTCCAAAACTATGGCTGATAATCGAGTCAAACTATATAAGCTCATGCATTTTTTTAATTGAGTTTAAAAAATTGTTCAAGTTCAGCCCGTTTAGAAAATGAGATGAACCGAACTCGAGTCAAACCCGAGTAGCTTGACTATTTTACATATAAACGAGCTTAAAAATTTATTCAAGCTCATCTCATTTAGAAAACGAATCCGAGGGTAGCCTGAGTAGCTTGGTTCGATTATCACCCCTACACATAACCCATGTATGGTTCATTTTTAAGGAAGGGGGATTAAACAATGAGAAATACTATGTAACCCAAATTTTCAACTCAAATTTACATTCCAAATGTAGGGGTCATTAAATGAGTGAGTCTCATCAATTTTTTTAAATGGGATCCACTGATTTAATGGTTCCCCTTCATTTGGAATACAAATTTAGGTTGCAGATTTAGGTTACATAGCGTTACTCTTAAACAATTTGGCTCATCGTGATCCAATATAAATAGTAAATTTTACCCCATGTATGGGAGTTTGATGAAACCCATGGAGGGTGGATTTCAAAAGTGAGATGAAATTTATAAGTAAAAAGATTACTTTACCCGAAACTCATTATCTATTCACCTAATAATGAATATTTAAGTCAATTGAGAAATAAGATTTGACATAAATTCATGGACTCTACATGTATTTATGTCACTTATCAAACATAGAATTTATTGTTGAATCTGATACATATAGAAATCATTGGAATTGAGTTTAAAAGAGCTTCATGGATACAGTACAATCCTCCCAAACAAAACAGTCCTTGAGTATCACACTCCATCACAGCAAAGCAACCAGTCCTTGAGTATCAATAAAGCAGCCAGTCCTTGAGTATCAATAAATTTGTGAACTGTGAATCTAACTCTAGCACCGATAAATTATTTTTAACAATCATATTTCTTTTTTTATTAATAAGCTGACATGAGTAAGGATTTTTTAATTTTTTATTTTTAAGAACTAAGGTTAAAAATTATTAGACAGATGTTAAAAAAAATGGTACCATAAACCTTACTAATAAGTCCACCAACATGCTGAATTTTGGGAAATTTATGAGTGGAAAAAAAATTTGAAAATTATTTTGGTTAGTCGAATCGACAATCTTAAAATAATCTGGTATGCAAAAAACTTAGCAGAAAATTAGGATTTAGACGTCGTCCTATTTTAATTTGTAAATTTTTATAATCAATGAATTCATCAATGAGCTATGATTACAAAATTTTGTTGATAGGTTGCGAAGTTACCAACAAGTTCATGAAAGGACAACAAATATCGTCCGCAAATTCAGAACCAATTGAACACCAAAGTGAGTGGAAGAAGGTGTACTTTGACTTGAGGCCTTTAGCAATTTTAGCACACAAAAAACCCATCCTTCCCTGCTTTGCTCAACTAAAAACGTCAGTAAGACCAACGTTTTTAGAAGGCGTTACTGATGTTTTCTCTAAAAGCATCAGTCCAATTAACCTTTTTATGTGGTCTCATATGGCATTATATTGCAAAAAAAATGTCAATTGGTCTGACGTTTTTATGCTAAAAACGTTATTCCATTTGACGTCTATTGATTTAAAAACGTCATTTTAACTGACGTTTTTAAAACTGTCTGAGTTTAAAAAATACTTTCAAAACAACCCTCTTTTGGATATATTTTTTAAAAACCCCATGGGTTGGGGGTAAAAGCTCCAAGTTGTGTGTAGACTTGGCAAGAGTATTGAAGATTCAACATATGTACCACCCTCACCCAAACCATAGATAGAATAACAACTTCTTTATTCATGACTCCATATATTGCATAATAGTAGTCATGGGTGGAGACAGAAATTTATGTTTGGGGGTTAAATATTATTACAGAATTCAAACCAACAATTTGGATTGTATAAACATTTTAGCAATTCAAACTTTCAATGAATAGAAATATATCGACAGCAGAAATATATTTAATAAAAAACCATGTGGTAATACATAAACATAAGAAGAAAATGAACACAAGAAATAGTTTTTAATACATATCCTCTTAGTTGAGTAAATTGTCATGTGGTCCTCACATAACACACGACTCAACAGATTGTCTTACAGTGCTTTTCTTCTCTTATCTGTCTTAGCGAGCTCTTTCAGCAGATCGATCGAAGAAGGCTTATCTAAATAGAAGGAATTTCTAGTCATAAATCGACGAAGGAGCTTCCTTTCGTTGTGAAGGTAAGTATAATCTCTTTATTTGTATAGATCTATGTATATATATACATAGATCTGTATATATATGCATAGATCTACATAGATCTGTACATAAAATCCCCCTTTTTTTGTTTTATCTATATATATATTCATAGATCTTCCTCTTTTTTTTGTTTAATTTATATTTTTTCACCACAATATACATAGATGTGTATTTTTTTTTGTCTCTCTCTCTCTCTCTCTCTCTCTGTGTGTCCGTGTTCTATTGCCATTGCTTAACATTCTTTCTTCTCTCTGTAAAGCACGTGAGATATTAGAAGGCTTACCTCAAGAAAAGAGATTTCCAATCACAGATCGACGAAGAAGCGCCCTTTCTCTGTGAAGGTAAGTGTAATCCCTTTATTTGTATAGATCTATGTATATATGCATAGATCTACATAGATCTATACATAAAACCCCCTTTTTTTGTTTTATCTATATATATATATATGCATAGATCTTCCTTTTTTTTTGTTTAATTTGTATTTTTTCACCACAACATACATAGATCTATATTTTTCTTTGTCTCTGTCTGTCTCTCTGTCTCTTTCTATATCTCTGTGTGTGTCCGTGTTCAGTTGTCATTACTTAACATTCTTTCTTTTCTTTGTGAAGCACGTGAAATATAAGAAGGCTTACCTCAAGAGAAGGGATTTCCAGTCACAGATCGACAAAGAAGCGCCCTTTTGCTGTGAAGGTAAGTGTAATCCCTTTATTTGTATAGATCTATGTATATGTGTATATATATATATGCATAGATTTACATAGAGTTGTACATGAAATCCCCTTTTTTTTTTTGTTTTATCTGTATATATATGCATAGATTTTTCTTTTTTCCTTGTTTAATCTGTATTTTTTCACCTCAACATACATAGATTTATATTTTTTTTTTGTCTCTATCTCTCTATGTGTGTCCGTGTTCAGTTGCCATTGCTTGACATTCTTTCTTCTCTCTGTGAAGCACGTGAGATATAAGTCTATTTGGATCAATAAAAATTCTGAATGTATATTCACTAATCTTTTTGGATTTGGATCGGATTCTAGATCCATTCATATACTTAATTAATTCCATATAATATCTGTTCATAACAACTATCTTATGTGGTGTAATCAACTCAAATCAATCTTATATGCACTAATTTACTTGGTTTTGTTGATGGCTCAATATACTTTTCGCTGCCAACCATAATAAGAATTTGGTAGGATTCATGGTTTTATTTTATTTTTTTTGAAAAAAATTTGGATTAATTAGTTATTTTTCCATTTATATTAGTTGTTAATATAATTGACAAAATTGTTGTAGGGGGGTGGGTTTTGGTGTGGAATTAACTATAGGAGGTGGGTACATGTTGCTTGATTTATTGTTTACTTGGATTTGATGTTAAATTTGATTTGCTTACTTGTACACCTTGATCCATGTTGCATTTGTGAATTAATAATATGGTTATGTGTTGAGAAATTATTAATATAATTGAGAAATTGTTGTAGATGAAAACAGGTAACAAAGAAACTCATAATAATGAGGTTGTAGAGATTGACCATAACAAAAAATGTAGTCATATGAACGTCCAATAAAGAGGCAATTTTTATTGACTTAATAGATAGGAAAGTAACAGCGAGGAATAGACCAAATTTTGGTCTGCAGACTAGGAAGTAGTTATCAAATTTAGGATAAAACGTGAAGTAGTTACCAAATATATTTTTTATTTTTTATTCTCATAATTTGATAGATAAAAATAACAATCAAACATATTTTTTGTTTCAATATTTATCACAAAATAGAAACAAAAAATATCTCTATTTTTAATTATTTTAAAAATACAAAAATAAAAACGTTACCGAACCACTCTGATTCTGAGAAAACAGTTCAAAGCCGTGTTCCCCAAGTCAGACACAGTCCAACACTTACTTTTCTCCCATTTATATTCTATCTTCTTTCACAGCTTTAACACTTCATTATTTCCCAGGAAAAAACGAAGAAGAAAAAGAAAAACCAGTCCATGGGCTACCTGAGATTCGAGTTGAATCTTCAATCAGCTAGCAATCTTAAAAACTTACGACGACAATATGGGAAGAAGATGAAAGTTTACGCAAGGCTTACAGTTAACGACGACACCCGTACACTGGCTGAAACTCCGGTCGACATGATCGGCGGGACTAATCCTGTATGGAATTATTCGGCCAAGTACATCATAGACAAGTCGGCCATCCGTCGGCAAGATGACACCATGCTTACCATCAGGTTATATTATAAGCGGTCTCGCGGCGGCGATGGGTATATCGGCGAGGTTCGGGTTCCGCTGAAGGAACTTTTTCAACGTTCAAATCCAGGTCGTGAGGAAGTATTTGAGACGTCCGTTGGTGCAGATCCAATGCAACAACTTAAGTTTTCATATACGTTTACAACGATGACCAACACAGAGACTACGGGTTCTGACTGGATGAAGAAATCCGTGAAGCTGGTTTGGACAATTGTGCAAATTGTACTTGCGACTGCGAATTAGGTCAATACTCGTAGACTCGTAGTTGTTGTTTCGGATCTGAAAGTATAAACCAAAAAAAAAAACCAAAAAAAGAAACCAAAAAAAAAAAACCAAAATAAAAAAACCAAAAAAAAACCCAAAAAAAAAAATAAAAAAAAAAACCAAACAAAAAAAAATAAAAAAAAAAACCAAAAAAGAAACCAAAAAATAACAAAAGCAAAAAACAAAAAAAAAACCAAAAACAAAAAAAAAAATTGGGGGGGGGGGGGGGGGGGGGGGGGGGTTGAGCCTTGTAAGTTTGCATTCATGATACATATCAATACAAAACAGTTTGCTTACCTCCAGAAAATGGTTGATCTTCTCTGGGTTTGTAACATGTTACTTGGGTTGTTTGAGAATGATAGAATTTTGCATATGTGGATATTAATGATATATGTGGATAGATTAATTTAAGATTGAGAAATGAGACAAGAATATTAATATCCACACACACACATACGAGATTCGGTCTGCTCAATTCAACTAAATAAAGTATTATTTCAACATTTTTTAAAACAAGTGATTCAATCTATAAACCGTAAATCTACATTCACAATTATCCCATGAAATCTTCATGCATAATTTCGGTAGTCACAGTTGATTTGGACATTTCCTAAAAAGCCTATGGAGATTGAGTATTTGAGGGACGTCATTGCCTTCTATCTAACTCCGAACGGTAGTTTAAATTCTGTGTACAAACACCAAGAATGAAAATTGGCAACTAGGGTAGTAGTAAGGATAAATTTTAGAACACTCTCAAAGTTTTGGTAAAATAAAACTTTAATTCCTTGGTGTACGAGCACTTTACTAGGATATTTGGTTGTTGATGGATGGCGTAGGTAGCTTAGATATTCATAGTTGGTAAGGGCTTAGCTTGGAAATTTCAGAGTAGGTAGCTTAGATATTCATTGTTGATATATGAAGACATTGTTTGATTAAGCAAAAAACGAAAAAAAAATTATTTAAGCTGAAGAGGCAGTGAAGAAATGTGGGTCACACTAGATTGATTTCTGAGAAAATTGCAGTTGATGTCGTGTATTTTTTGTTTCAACTGAAATCACAGAAATTGCCTGATATTCATTTGCAGTTGAGTAGGTAACCTTTATCTTTAATCACAGTATCATGTCATTCTCACTCGAATTTGTCAAGCCCTCTTCTATCTTAACCTCTCAGCTTCTTGCTCCTTTTCTCTCTCCAACAGTAATAGATTAATTTAAATGTGATAATACGAAATGGTTATAGCTAAAACTCCAATATTAAGCTTTTCATCTACTTTCTAATTCTTTTGGTTCGACGTATTAAAAGTATTCGGGTCAATTTACGTGTACAACGATTAATTTTTTTTTCAATTTGATCAAAGACAGATCATTTATACTAGGACTAGGGTAATAATGAAAAATAAATTCATTATAGTATAACTCCAAAAAATTGTCAAGATTTAAATTTAAGACGGTATGTCCCCTTTATCACTTGAACTATCCTTTGAATTGTACTTTCTAATTATTTACAAATGCATCTATCTTGTTTTGTCCAATTTTTGCTCATGTCCTCTCAAAATTACATTAACTCAACTATACAATGTTAGACCACATGAAGAAAAACCTATGTTATATTACAACCGTTGTATTTTGTTGTGGGTGAGAGTGGTAGGTGAGGGGAGGGTCTAGGGGGTAGGGCGAGGACACCAGGGAAGAGAGTCATGGTCCAGCGAGCGGGCCACATCCCACCCCCAAATTTTTTTAAATTAATATTACCTTTATTTGTTAGATATATTTTTTTATTTAATGTTAATGTGTCCACCCTATTATTTTTCCATACATCAATTGAAATAGACTATACATAAATGACTATAAAATTTCGGACTAATTTTGGAGGTGGTATAAACACATTTGGATAAGTTTGGGACATATTGGGGTCAGTTAGTTATTTTTTAAAAAACTTATGGGATAATTTAGCTATTATATAAAAATTAGGGTAATTGTATGGTCATTTTGTAAGTATATAAAAAATTGGGCTCACAATTTTAAACTGGAAAACAATTTGGATTTTCTTAAACTTTGAAGTAATAAATATTTGTGTAAACAATTATAAAGATATCATTTAATTTTATCCAATTAAAAAATTAAATCAAATATTTACATATTTGAAAAAAAAATTATCAATAAAAGATAGAGAAAAAATAGGGGAGAGGTAAAGAGAGTAACGAGGAGAGAGAGAGATGGAGAAAAAATAGGGGAGGGATAGTGAAAGAGTAAAATGGAGAGAGAGAGAGATAAAATAGGAGAGAGAGAGTAAATTAAAAAATTAGAATTATGCACAGTTTAATACATAATTTAATGAATAGTAAGTAAGGAAAAAAATTCAAATGTCATTTGAATTTTATACCTAATCACAAGATGTTTTATTAAAATAAAATTCAATAGAATAAAATACTTATCCGTACACTTCCTCTTAAATAAGTCCAAAAAAATATACCCACACCCAAAAAACTCTAAAAAGGTTTGATTAATCTTCAAGTTTTTTGCTAACTTTGTTTAAATACCTGAATTAGATCACAAATTTTCCAATAGAAGACCTATACCATCTTAAAGCTCTACGAACTTACTTTTTGACGAGACAAACGATTCAATTTTCTATGGGGAGTATAACAATTTTATTGAAGAATGTTTGATCTGCCAAGTGACCCAAAAAATCTTATTTTATATTTATAAGTGTCTTCATTTTAAAATAATCTTTTTATGGTTTCTATGTATTTTGTGGCTTGATCAAGAGTTTTAAATAGTAGTATTTAAAATCTAAGTTGCTATTATCTATGTTTCAAGAGATATTCAAAAACTAGTCTAAATAAGGGTCTTTCAAGTGTTGAACGAGATAAAGTTTGAATACTGAATGAATATACAGTCTTTAGTTTATTCAAAGAATTTTCTTCTTGTTAAACTCTTATCTTTTCGGTAATTCTTCGATTGGTGGCGAGTTTTACCATGGATCCCTTTGACTCTTACCCTGAACTTGTTACTTGTGTTAATTACCTCGCAGAACCTTGAATACAAAAAAAATCTATGACGACCCTACCCCATCATGAAGCCCAAATTGTAGCCCGCTGATTCTGACCCAACGGAGACACACTTTGCCAAGTGCAGAAACATAGGTTAGGTCCACTAAGTCCAAATGGGTCAACCCCACACTCGGTGTCGTATTGCTGTGGATCACAGTGACCCTTCCTTTGAGTAGCAATAACTTTGTTATGGTCCCCTCCATGCCTGCTGCTTGCGGCAGTTGGCTGTATTAAAAACAACGGGTCGCCTTTACGATATTTAAAATCGAAGCCACTAGCTTGTCCAACAATGTTATTTACAATAATTATTCAAAATATATTAAAATATTATATTATCTATTTTAGTTGATTATTATTTCAAATTCACTCCAACAACGTAATTTATTTTAGAAAATCACTTCAACTAACTTTTAATAATAAAATTTAAAAAATAATAATTCAACTATACATTGTATAAATTTAATCAATTATTATAGGTTACAAGAAATAACCCACCTCCCAAAAATTACTACTCCCAAACCAAATTCTCTTAAATTAAATCACAAAATTCAAAACAAAATCACTCCAAATTACATAAATAACCGACGTCAAGATTTTTTAGGAGTTTTGCTAGATTTTTTGGAGGTTTTATTAAATTTTTTGGGGGGAGTTTACTGAATTTTTGGGGAATTTTGTTAAATTTTTAGAGAGTTTTGCTGGAATTTTTAGGAGTTTTGTTGGATTTTTTAAGGAGTGTTATTGAATTTTTGGAAGGAGTTTTATAGAACTTGACAATGAAAAAGATGCCACCCCCTCTTCCAACACCACCCAAATCAATAGACTGTAAGGCCACCGTCCAGATTAGCAGACTGTAATGAAGACGATGTCACTGCCCAGATTAGCAGACTGCAATGAAGACGATGTTATCAATCCAGAGTTTCTGAGAGAGAGAGAGACCATACCTGCTTTTAGTCGATGGATCAAGCCATCAATCAGTGCTCCTTCAGTCGGTGGAACAAGCCTTTTGCGATGAAGCCTTCACAGTTTCTGGGGGGTGTTGTGCAAAAAAGCCTTCATCAGTCGCCAAGGTTAGCTAGCCAAATGGAAATTATGAAAAATATATAGAGTGATAACTAGTCTGTTGGAGTTCAGTTCCTTGGTCCGCCTATATAAAATAGCTAAGAAAGCCAATTTATTGAGCTTATTGGAGTTGCTCTTACCCAGAAACTCCTCCCTCATGCTTTCTTCTTCAATCATTATACACATACAAATTATCTCTCTCTCTCTCTCATAAACTGCTGCTTCTCCTTTTTCCGGGCATGTGTTTGTTCTTTTTACTGCTTCCAATGTCCAAAACTGCAAAGCACTGTGCCAAAGTACCACATGAGAAAAATCATTATGGGCCATAGGAGCGCAAATACTTGTATCAGATGAGAACTACGGGTTGAATATATATAAACAAATCAATCATTTATTAAGAATTTAAACTAAAATAGAATCAAATTAGTCGGATATATATTAGTTTTCTATTCAATTATACAAAATAAAAACTGAATTTGAATTTGATAAAATTCAATTTAAGTATAATCTATTAACATGTCGAACTTTCAAATATGGTGCAGATCGAATTTATAGTGTAATAGTAAAGTGAAATTAGTGATATAAGGAAGAGGACACAAATTATAACATATTCAAACATTACATCTAAAAAGTTTAAAACCATTGAGAATATGTGTTTCAGAGATTTGTTTTCTCTCACTCCCCACCTCTCATTCTCTCTTTCTCTCTCTCTCCCTACTATTGGCAATTGGCAAAAGGGTGATGAAATTATACTACAATTATTGATTATTTGATAACTTTCCGCCCATAATAGACTTAATTATATTTGGCCTCTAAATTCGACTTTAATTATTTTCAAATAAACTTATTTGGATTCCAATACTTGTTTAGTGTTACGTATATTATTATATTAAATATTAAAAAAGTCTTATTTTAAAACTTTAGACTTACGACTTTGTTTGCATCAGATTGTCCTTAATTTAAGTTCAAGATCAATTTTTCCAATACGAGGATAATGTTGTTGCCTACCTATCAATTACCCTTCACAAATTTTGCTATAGACAATAACCTTATTTAAAGAATATGACCCATCTTTTTAGAATCTATGGTTTCATGAAGGGAAGTTATACTTTTCAAGTTTCAACACCTCCCATTAATCTCATGTTGTTTTCCCCTACTTAAAATCAAACAAACATAATGTCCAAACATCAGCTGAGAGAGAGAGAGAGAGTACAAAGCAATTGGGATTGAAATGTAGCACAGTTGTAGAACTCATGCGCAACCAAATCCAGGCTAAACACAAGGGCAGAAAGAACAAAACACCATCGCACAGTGCACAAAAGGAAGTGAAGGTAATATGTGCCTATCAAAACCAACCTGACACTCACATGTGTTCACTAATGCGAGGCACCATTTCATATTTGGGATGATTAATTCTCAAAAAGAACTTTTAAAATAATAAAACTCGTTAACTCTAATAATTTTTTTGGTTACTTTAGTCTCAAATATGACAAATTCAATTTTGGCATTGGAAAACAGTTTACCTGGTATTATATGGGTTTTTTTTTTCATTTTGGTTTAATGTTGTATGACTATTTTTAGAATTATAATATTTTTTTACCTTGTTTTTTCTAGTATCTCTATCGAGTAGGATGTTTAGTTTATGGGAGACCCATGGGTGGTTAATTTGATTAAGAGAAGAGGGTCCTAGTCTACCTGCATTTAAGGGGATTCTAATCCTCTTTAATCTCCATGAAACATGATGAAGATAGAGTTACAGTTGAAATTTCTAATGAAGAAGGCAACTATCCTACCACACTTTGGCCGCTCTATATATTTATTAAGAAATATTATACATCAACACCACACAATTATACGTAGCATGTTTCTTCGCAATTACGTTAAGATTAAAGTCAAGATCCTATCGTGTGTTCTTGACAAAAAATAAGTTTAGTCTTACTAAAGTGTCTTATTTGTGAAGACTGGAGTTCAAATATTAATCAATAAATTTCGAGAACCCACTGAACCAATCGCTGGGCTTGTGTATGTAGTCTTATTTTCCATACAAAAAATGTTAAAACCTCCGCTCCGTAACACAAAAAAGTGCATAGATTAACCTAAAACCCCTGGTAGATAACAACAAAACAAGGCAATATAGCCTTAGGATTAAACACGTACAACTCATCCAAATTAGCATAAACTCCGGCAGCTCCGGCAACGGAGTCGTACTCCTCCCCACTTCCCTCCATGTTCTTCTTCACCCTTCCGGCAATCACGCGGCAAACCAACATCGCCCTCTTTTCATTCTCCGACTCCACTCCGGCACTGTCATGCGCCTTTCCGCTCGTCGCCGTCGTCAGTATTCCTTTTCCAGCAAGTCCTCCGGTGGGCTCTCCGACAAACTTGAACCCATTTCTTATGATGCTACAAACGTTGCAATTTGGGATTGAATTGCAGAGATTAGACGAGCCGTTTAGGCCCAGTGAGCACATGAAGGTGGTGGAGTGGAACCTGAGGAGTTCATTGCCATCTGCTATGCAACGTGGGTGCTTCTTTGGGAACTTGGTGGCTTTGGCTTTAATGGCGTCTCTGTATTCTTCGAATTTTGAGATGGTTTTGGGGGTGTTGTGGACTTTGAGAATGCGGTATATTTTGCATACTGGGTTAAGTTTCTTGAGCCAGCTTGATTGGAATATAATCTCCACTATGTTCTTGCTTGTGTCTTCTGGACCCAACTCAGATACTGTGAAGTTTTTTTTGCACACTTGATTAGATCACTATTTCAATCAATTATCAGCCATTACAACTTTTTAAACAAAATAAGAGTAATTTATACTCTAGATCATGTTAATTCATCAAATTAAGTCAATTTGTTAAGTCTCAGTAGCATTATTGGAAGGGAAAACAGGTGACGTAAAGTTCTGAACACTGAAATAAGTACTTAATTTGTGTTTGTGTGTGTGTTTTCTTGAGAAATGGGTATTGGATACTGAATGAGACAAGCAAGTCACACTGGGAAACCGGTGATGAGTACTGAAAATTTGGGGTGATTAAAGGGAGAGATGGTCAATTTGGGAAATGGGTGTCGGTTATTTAAACTAGAGTGACAGCCTGGAGAACAGGGTAGATTGGGTTTTGGGGTGGGGTTTTTTTTTTGGGATGCTCAGATTGAGCATTGATGGGTAAAAGATTACAAAAATCAGAAGCAGCCAGAACGAGATATGGGTATTAGACTACTAGGCATTGAAACAATGAACCTCCAAAATGCAAGAAAAAGTTTTAAATATGAAAATTGAGAACTTATTGGTTTTTGTGTTTTTGTGTTTTTGGTCCCCAGGTTATAGAGAGAGGAAATGAAATGAAGGAAACGGACCGAGATGCTCAGATTGAGCAGTAAAATTATTATTCAAACTAGAGACGGCCAAATTGGGACATGGGTATTAGACTACTAGGTCTTGAAACAATGAACACCAAAATGCAAGAAAAAAGTTTAGTGCGAATATTAAAGAAGTTGGTTTTTTTGTTTCTGTGCCCTTGGAATGGAGAGAGAAAATGAAATGAAGGAAATGGAGATTACCTGCATGTCTAACAGCCTGATGAAGCTCCAAATATTCAGCTTTCATGAAGATCTCACCACATTCAGGACATGGACATATGGTAGCTCTGAGAGAAGGTCTCTTGTGATTCCAAGAACAGGGTCAACCACCATTCTACACTCATAGCACCCAGACAGTCTCCTAAAAGGCATCCCCCTGAAGGATCCACTAGCAGAAGGAGAATTAGAAGAGAGAGAAAGTGAAGAAGATGAAGTGGAAACAGAGGCCCCATTAAGTTCATTGAGAGGGGCTTTCATGGATCTGCTGGAGCCATCACTGTTACATAAGCCCATTGAAGCCCTCTTCTTCTGGTCTTCAGGGGATGAAGGTTCAGGCCTGTGCATGACCTTTGTGTTGCTACATAGTGAGCCTGAACACTTCATTTTCTTGCATTTTTTGCTGCTTTCCTCCATGGATTTCTCTTGTTTTTCTTGCGTCTGTTGTTCTATTTTTGGATGTTGTTCTTGTTTTTGCTTCTTTTCCTGTTCTTCTTGTGGCTGTTTTGGTGGTTGTGGCTGCTGTTGCTGTAATTGTCCTTGAAGGTGTTTGCAGGTGAAAAGGCTTCTTAAAACTGCCCATGAATGTGGCTTTTTAGGTTCCTGGGGGTGGTGGTGGTGGACTTTTTGGTGGTGGTGGTGGTGGTGGTTTTGGACTGTTTGGTGATGTTGCTTTTCCTTGGTAGGTTTTCTGGGGTTTCTGGTTTTAGCCATTGGAGGAGAGATCTGGGAGTGATGCCTCTGAGCTATAAATATTGGTATCTCTGGTTTTGTTTCAGATAGGTAGTGGGTTGCTTTTGTTAAAAAGAGGGAGGTTCCTATCTCTATAAGCTGAGAAATTTTTTGGGTGTTGTGGGGCTCACCCATTTTTATTTTATTCTACTTCCGGAAGATGACATATTTTTAGTAATTTTCAAAAAGTAATGATATGCTGATCAAAATTTGGGACCAAATAAAGAGTTCAAATGACATGACAACTAACTTGGAAGGCTGATTAAGCAATAATCAGCCTTTCAAGTTAGTTATCATGTCATTTTGACTCTTTATTTAGATCAGTCTAATTAGCCTTCTAAGTCTGCTGCCCATCAGTCTAATTAACCTTCTAAGTCTGTTGTCATGTCATTTGGGCTCTTTATTAAATGACATGGTAGTTGACTTAATAGGATGATAAGATAATAATGTCTTTCAAGTCAACTGTCATGTCATTTGACACTTTTATTAAATGATATGACATCTGATTTTGAAGACTAATTAGATTGTCATATCATTTAAGTTCTTTATTTGATCCCTAATTTTGGTCAACGTACCATTACCGATCTTCAAATGCAAGTCTTTTTACCAAAATTTACCACAATTTTTATAAAAGCATAATTTGAACTCACACATTGCATTGCAAAAATTTATTTTCAAAAGATGTGTTGAAGATTTTTTTTCTAAAAATGTGCTTTGCAAATGTGTTTATACATTAAACCCACATTTTTACGGAAGTTATATATATGAATGAAGAAATAAGTTAGAAATTGCGGGTGTTGAAAATTAAATTATTACTATTGTACTTAGAAAATTTTCCCAAAGTACTATAGTTTGGAAATTGATTCCTTCTGGCACAATAATGCCCAAAAAAAAAAAAAAATACAAAAACAGAAAAAGAGCATAGTCAAGTTGCAGTTAAGGATTCTGGAGCCCTCCCAGTTTACTAACCAAAATGCTAAAAGAATTGGGAAATGACGTTTCCATCTTTTTACCAAATTTATAACCCAAATAATATGGCACAGTGATAATTTCAGGCAGAGTTGAGGGTTTTTGCTTGATTGTGGTCTCCTAAAGTAAGTGAAGATCATCTTTCATAATTCTCCCTGGACATTTTGACTATGATAGGAAGAAGATCGGTTCTTCACTCTCATGAAAGGGCTTTAACTTGCATAAAAAATGTCCAAAATTAGGGGCGTATTAGATAATTAGTGAAATTTGTGAGGTCCATTGATCCAACGATACAATTGGTCGAAATCAGGAGTTTCCTTTATACTATAGAGTTAGCATATACCAAGATGGACTTTTTGGGGCTAAGCGCCTTGCAGCAACAACAAGAAGAAATACACTAATTACACCATAATGCTGACTGATCTCCTTGGGAAAAGCTGGTTTTGATTCCTTTTGCCTCAAAATCATAATAAAGAGACCATATGTTATGGGGATAAAGTTTTGTACTTTTAATTAGCTTAAATTTCACTCTTCCCATTGAGTTACAAAAGTTTTATTTTTTGTTTACAGTTTTTCAAGCTCCTAATGTTTGTAGCCACCAAAAAAAAAAAAAAAACAAGTTGGTGTGGGAGGAACATAGTTTGAGTAGCCGTTGATGAGCATGGCTTTTGAAAATCAGAAACATTGAGAATCTAGATAAAGCAAGAACAGTAACATCGACTGAGTAAACAAAAGTTGGCCGGGGAAAAGAAAAATCTACCTGTTTTTTGCGACCTAATTACTAGCATAATTTCATTAGGTGCTAAGTAGGGTTGATGATGGGTTGTATGATTTTGGACTCGTATTTTGTGTTTCGTTGGTATACGACATGTTTGTAATCTTGCATAATTGTGTTTCTGTTTGTGCTATATATATTATGGTAAATCTTATTAATACCTCCTAAATTTAAGTCATATTTCACTAAAATTTTCTCTATTTTCTTATATATCACTGCATACTCTTATAGTTTATATACGCGTTTCACATATATTCCTATTAATATATGTCATTATAAAAAAGTTGGTGAAGTGAAAGTTTATTCTCTTATGAGTTGCCAAGTTTACCTTTGGCCATATAGAACAAGCAGACACATCCTTTTAATATTAATTTAATTAAATTAAACGCTAATTAGATTCAATAAAATGTTTTCTATCATTTTTTTTGAATTAAATAGAATGTTAATTTTAAAAATAATATTAATTTGATAAAAACCAAATATTAATTCATAAAATTGAATGTTAATTTTTATAAAACTAAATAACCATTTGATATTGATTTGATGAAATTAAATGTTAATTTAAAATTCAATCAAAAAATGATGTTAATCTATATCTATATTATATTATATTATTATACTATTAATAAAAGTACCTCAAAATGAAAACTTTTGATTGACTATTGTGTCCTTATAAATAATATAAAGGTCCTTGTATCCATTATATAGTTAACTATTCGTATTCATTTACGCCTAACTATTCAAATTACTTTTATATTTTTCTATAATAAAAAAAAAAAAATAAAACTTCACAGGTCAAGTTATATATATTTTTAAAAATATTTAATAAGCATTTATTCTAAATGTTAAGTTCAATCCTAAAATTTTAGAATCAATTTCAAACACCTCAAAAAATTAAACTTCCCAATATTATATTTTGTTGTGTGGTCCTAATAACAAATATCATTACCACAGAATTATCTAAATCTTATAATTTATCTATATATACTATACTCTATATAAATGCTAACTATCTTGAAAAAAAAATTGTTTTATTTTACCCTATTTTAATATTTTAAAGTCAAATTTTTCTTCACCTAATAACGACCATAATTTCAGAATTAGTGTCTTAAAAATATGAAATAATGGTTTCAAATGATCACGAAATGACTCTATGGATTGTACACATAAATATTCATATGCATTCATGTATCCATATTTAATATATCAATTACAATTTATACTTTTAAGATATAAATTAAATTTATTTTAATTGAACTAAAATTCATACTTGTGTAACTGTGGAAGTTTGTAACTCTTCCTGTTAATCATTGCGACTCTAGAGTCACAAAGTTACTCTTATAATATTGTTTTGTTTTTTATGTTTAAGTTTTCTTAATATTGCTTGACAGATACTAAAGAGAGAGATGAAATACTTTGATTGCTTTCAATGAAGAGGCGGTAAGCCGCAGAAACAGAAAAGGAATGCTTACCCTCTCAAGAGGCTTATTCTAAAGTTACAGATATTGCCCTAAGAGGTAATCTCTCTCTCTCTCTCTCACACACACACACACACAAATGTATGCCGAGTACCGATCTTTAATTTGTAATATTTATTATTGTTTTCATTGTCAATCATTCATTTTTTGATGATTTTCTATTATCTGTGTAATAGTCAACATGAATTTCTCTAATTTTTGACGGTTTTTATAATCACTCTAAGTTGATATTTATTGTGTTTTATGTTTTTTTTTTTTGGAAACTTGATTTATATGTTTTACGCATGTACTTGAATGGACGAGCAATAAATACTTATGACTTGATCATGTCTATATAAAATTGAAAAGTCAAGGGTAAATCTAATATTTCATGACAACAGTTATAGGAAATATTAGTTTATTGTACTAAAAGACTATTATTAACTATTTTAAGTAAATCTTGTAATGAGTTTGGTTGTGAAATATGAATTTTATGCACTGAGTTGAATAAAGTTGATATCAACATATGCAACAACCATTTTGTGTCCTCTGGTTCAGTGCAAAACACATATTAAAATTTTTTTTATTAATATCATATTTGATTATCTGTAAGAGAATGATATATTATATTTACTATTCAAAATAATCTATTTGTAAAGCACGTGTACACTAATTCGTTTAAGAAATTAGATGTTAAATTGATGAAATTAAATTTTAATTTAGGGTTAATTTAATAAAATTTAAAAATTAATTTGGTGCTAATTTTAATAAAATTGAAATATCGATTTGATGGATGAGATCGAATGTTAATTTTTTGGAATAAGATGATAATTTTATAAAATTCAATATCAATTTTACGTTAATTTGGTAAAATTTTGCATTAATTTTTGATGAAATTTAATGTGGTTTGATTTAAACCTGAATGTTATATTGATAGTCAATTTGATGTTAATTAGATCAAATTGAATTAATTTGGGTAGTAAATTTGATGAATTTTAAAGTGATTTTGAGAAAATTGAGCGTTAATTTTATGAAATTGAATATTAATTTTGGTATTAGTTTAATAAAATGTAATGTTAATTGGATGAATTGATTGATAATTTGATGGATGTGAAATGTTAATTTGACAAATTTAATATTAATTTGATAAAATATATGGCTAATTTAGTGGTAATTTGATGAAAACTGAATATTAATTTTATCTTAATCGGATAAAATTAAATATTAATTATAAAAAATTGAATATTAATTAAATAATTATTGTCGAATTTGATGTAATTACGTTAATAATGGTAATATGTGAAATGAATTTTTAAAACTCCTCCAATAAAAAAAAAATTTGACCATGATTAGATTAAGTTATAGCAGGCATAAAAAAGAAATAAAAGGGTAAATTCAAATAACCCCCTGTAAAATGGGAGTTCTAGTAAGGTTAAATTCTGTAAAATTAAGTCCCTCGTTAAGTATGTTAACAGACAATAAGTGACACCAAAAAAAAGTATATAGTGATATTTTAAAAATAAAAGGAGGTGTCAGTGAATATGACTTAAATCTAAGAGGTTATGGTTGAAATTTGTCCTATATATTAATGTTTATAAGTACAGTTTTGTGCGTCGGCAAGTTCATTTTAATATTAATTAAAGAGTAATGCTAGATAGACTTAAAAATTAAACTTAAAAATTAGGCTTAATAATCTCAATCATTGAAAAGGTAGTAGGTCCCAATAAATATTGTGGACCTACAGTAAAATCAATGGTGAAAATTATCAAAATTTAATTTTT